CTCCTATGCATGGTGCCCAGTGAATTGGCAATATTCATCGTACCTTTTGCCTAGGTGAATTATCACAGTGTTGGAATGTGAATGCAGTATATCTTTGTGAAGCTACAAGATTTGGTCTACAGACAAAACCAGAGCTGACCTGATAATCAGAGTTTAAATCTCTCTTAATGGGGATGTTGCAGAGTGACAGAGCAGAGAGGGAAGCTCTTCCTTTAGCAGACAGTGAAATGCATCAGCCACTGGAGCTGGTTTGAATGCAACCCCCTCTTGTAAACCCACAGGCAAGGCTTAGAGAGGAGATTCTCTTGTCTGTGACTGGTACTCTGCCTGCCTGTGCTGCTCTCACTTTTAGGCTGAATTGCAGCAACTTCTGCATTTTGGAAGGTTTGGTCAGTACAGAATGTGATTGCTGGCTCTCTCAATAATGTGTCATGTGGAGAGCACTGGCTGGGGAATCTGGAAACCATGGGAAACTCATGGTTTTCCTTATTTAAAGAAATGAACATTATAAAATTTTCAGTCTTTAATTCTGTAACAAAAACAGGAGAGAATTGTACAAGATAGAATTAAATATGGGAATGCTTAAGCACACAGAAACAATGGGTTAGCTTATTAAAGGGAGGGGGAAGCTCAAAACATAAAAATTAGATTCTTCTTGGTGAAAATCTTATAGACAAGCAACTTGTTTTGTTTTATGATTCCTTGGAAAGACAGTATTCTGCACAGCTGTTAGCCACGTAAGAAAGAAATACATATGTGCATATCCAAGTGTGAATATTCCTTACTAATCCAGTTTCCCCAAATACTTGGAATGAAGCTTTCAACAGTGCTTGTTAGATTAAAAAAAAAATCCCCTCGAGAAACTATGTTCCAAAACCTCAATTCTTATTAGGAAATGAAGCAACTTTCTTGTGGCATAAAAATAATGATGCTTTGGGTAAAAGCTTTCAACCATATGGCCCACAGAAATAACAGGCTTCAGAAAAATTTATCTTAAACAGTACATAAACAATTTATCTTTGCACGTGGAAGCTGCACACCAGATAAAACATGTTCTTGCAAAATGCCATTCCTTAGAAAAACATCTTCAGTCTCAATCTTCAGGTAAGACCCTGCAAAACTGCATTATAAAATATATCAAATGGTACAAATGTGTGGGAAGGAAGGCCATGTCCCCCACTACTTCTGCCAGTGGCATAGGAGCCCATGGTACAGACTGCTTGATCACAGGGCTTGTGGGGTCTTTTTAGTTGCTAGGCTGAGTTATGGAGGTGAAAAAGTATAGTTTGTGCATTTTTTCAACCACATAAGCAAGTTTTAAAGTCACCACTTTGAGTATATTTAGTGTCTTTTCTGTTATACATTGGATGAAAATAGACTTCTATTGCACAAACATACATTATCTTCTTTGAGAAGCCTAAAAAAGGAAGAGACATGATCTAATTGAAGTTGGTGAATAAATGAGCAAAATATATTTATCTGATGAGGCCAATGGTACCTTTTAATAAAGACTTTTAAGTAGCCAGCCTTTGTGTCACTGCACAATCTTTATGGTTGCAGGAGCTTAGTACTAAGCTTAGACAGCTTTGCTTGTTTTGCTGCTTTTCTCATCAGTGCCTTAATGCCTGCTGATTAAGGGCTCATAAATCTTTGCAATATTAGCAGAGGAGTCCATTTCCATAGCAAATGGCAACATTTCCCTGCCTCCTTCTAGCTGCTATCACACACATGTGGCATGTACTTGTAGGTATCATTGTCATGCTCATGCCATATATTCTGAACAATGAATGCTCTCTTCCTGGTAACCTGAACCTCTTAACCACTGCTAAAGAGTAGCCTTTACTCTTGAGGTCACCTAACTTGGCAAGTCAGTGAGTTAATGGGTCTGAAAAGATTATCCTAGACCAAAATTGATGTAAACATTCTCCTTTCAATGTAGAAGGCATGGGCTTGCATGCCTTTCATCTTTCACTGCACATTCCAGATGTTTGCTTCTTTCCTCTCATCGTATATACATGATGGGATAGATAATGTACTGAGCTGAGATTTATGTCTAAGGCATGATGTGTTTGTACTCTACTTCATTACACCTTCTTTTTCCCTTTTATTTGGGAAAGGAGAAGTATCTTAAAAGCCTTTTTTTAAATTCAGGTTTGATTTGTTTATTCTGTGCTTCCCAAAAAGCAGTCTAGTTGGAGTTCCTCATCCCCTCTATTTCCTCTGCTGTTGCCCTGCAATATATCTCCTTTCAGTTTAGGGTGACTCTATGACTTGATTGCTTTGAAAGAGTTCCAGAAGACAGACCTCAAAATTTGCTTTGAAAAGGTCCATATTAAAAATAAATAATTAAATAGCTAACTAGACAAATAAATAAATACCATCAACATAAACCCAGATTTTTTCCTTGATTTATTTTGACCATCAAATGCTAATTTCTAATTTTTCCCCAGGTGATGCACTAATATGTATTCACTATTTAAGATTATGGGAAAACATCCTAAAGTTACAGTGGGTGTTTCAGTGTTGATCTTTCACTGAATGTCAGCAGCCCTTAATTGCTAAAGGCAATTAAAAAAATGATTTTGTTTTTTGGGTTCAATCTGGAAGACTCTAAGACTTAACTAATGTTAACTTCTCTGCTATATGGACTTTTTTTTTTTTTGGTTCATCCAAATGTCATTTATTTTTCCCAAAAAGGCATTTTAGATCTATTAATAAAAGTCAGAATCTGCCACAGACCACAGTTATTCCTACTTTTTGCTGTTTTTCCAATGTTCTTTATTTCACTATGTGTCAATCCAGAATAGATTCCTTTTTTGCTCACTTCAAGGACTATGCAAACACACTTGATGCAAAATGAAAATATATGCTCAAGTTTCAAGAAAAGACATTTTAAGAAAAAGGAAATGTTTTTGAACTAGGATAACATTATCATCCAGAAAAGAATTGTGATTATTTCACTCAATAATTAGATATATTTTATATATATATATCTATATATATATATATCTATTGTTTCAACATATATATATTGTTTCTCTTAAATTAGACAATATGTTACCATTACTCATAGCCTTAGTTTACCTGAAACCTTAATATACTTTACATTAAGGTTAGGAGATTGCATAGATATGTTTCCTCCCTTGAGTTTGAAGAGAAACTGCATTCAAAATTGTTAAAGAAGAGGAAATTATTCAGGTATTTTGAGTTAAAAACACCATCTAACAAAGGGATACTTGAGAGGGAGCACTCACCTGATAGTGAAAATGAATAGAGGAAATTTGTCTTCATGAAATTGTAGGCTTGCATCTGTAGTGCCTTGGTTTGACATGTGAGTTTGTAAACTTCTTAGCTTTCCAGAAAACACTATTAAGGCTTATTTCTAGCTACTGGGAAAAAAAATAGCACTCCTAAAAGATAAAACATTGAGACTAAGAAATAAGAACAATTTTTAGCTCAAGGGTGCACATTCAGGGGTGAATTTTATCTTATGTATTTTGGGCTTTTACATCCTTTCACCGAGACATGGGGTATGATTGCATGCTTTCATTTTGTGTACTTTTGTACTTTATTTAAAGGATAAATCGCCTTTATCATGTGATAAATTTGTGTATCTGTACATGACTGTATAAGATTTTTCAAATTGTTTTAACAAATTTGACAAGCTAAAACATGAAATGTATTTTTTTTCTCATAATTTCTAAAATTCTCACAAACTGCTAGATCACCTTCCAGTTATTAATATCCCCTTTGGTTAGACTGTAGGAATTATGTAAATTAACTCTGGTGAAAGAAGGAAATTCATAGTAAATAAACCATCCAGCTGAAAGAAACTTGCAGTAAGTGAAATGTCTCACTAAAATAGTGCTTGATTATTTGATTTCTCTTGGCAGTTTGCTAAGTGTTTGCCATGAATTCAAAAATAACTCTCAGCAAATTTACTGTACAGATCTTGGGTTCTTGGAGCTGCATTATTGGAAAGCTGGAATTTGTCTGTTACACTGTTATGTATGAAAGCATAAATTAAGATTATTTAGAAGAAGGCAGTCGGCAACTGAGAATTACTCAGTCTGCAGAGTAATTCTCTCCCATTAATACCTTTAATTGGTCTTGTGCCTAATTTGCATGGCTAATTCATTAAAGGCTGTTTAATCCAGCTCTTAGTAGCTTCTTATTTGTCTGCATGAGCCTTCTGTAAGAACAGACAAGCTTTAGATGTGGTGCTCTGTAGTCCCTTGACACAGTAGTTTTGACTGTAAGGCTCAGGAAACCCCTCCACTCCCTGGTGTCACTGTGTTATGGGATCATTCTGCTTACCTGAGGAAAGACAGGTAAGCAGAATGATCCCATAATAATCCCATATTTTTTCATGATGATGAAAAAATAGTGAGTCACTTTAGCAAGCATAAACTCCTGTGAAATTTCGTATTTGCTGTTTTCCATCACAGTGCAGGCATATTGTCTACTAATGCTCTTATCTTTAACACTTTACTTTCCCATTCTAAATATAATTAATTAATATTATGTTAAGGTAATAAATATAATATTACATTGCAGTAAAAGCAGTTTTAAAGTTTTGCTGCACACAGCTAGAATACTGAAACTGGAATTATGCTAAGGAATAGAGATGCTGTTCTCTTGTTGATCCTGACACTTTAGGGCTTTTATATTTTTTAATGTGGTATGATGAGAGATTTGGTATTGTGTAGAATGTCTGGAAGCCTTCAGTGAAAAAAAGGAAAAGTCATATTTTGCAGATTTTAATTTTCTGTAGTTTACTGAAAGCCATGTTTTTTCTTTGCACTGATGTATTTCATTCTGATTTTAAAACTCAAAATTTTGCTTTTGGTCCTCTGTGTAACAACTTTCATATCAACTTGCTTACAACATGTGAAACATAAAATCAGTGTTGCAGGCATGCATTTGTATTTTACATTATGATATAATCTGTTTCTTTGTCTTTCAAAAATCTAATTCAGCTTTTCTTTCTCCTGTGATAGGATGACAAGGACTTGGTTCATGAGTTTGTTGTTGCTGAAGGTCTGACCTGCTTAATCAAAGTGGGAGCAGAAGCTGACCAGAATTATCAGAACTACATCCTGAGAGGTAAAGGAAATGCATCCAAAAGTTGGTTTTATTGCTTGGAAGCTCTCACAGGTCTGCAGCAAATTGCTGTGTAAAGTGTCTTTGAACTTGCTTCTGTTTGGTCCTGATTCTTTCACATTGTGCAAGAAAGCTAAGGGAAGATTAATGTTCACCACTGAGCAGAATGAACTGGAATATTTGGAATTGTAATATTCTCCCCGTTGTTCACCTTTTCTTGTAGATTACACTGCAGATCTCCAATTCTAGGAAAGAAAAGGCATTCTAAAGCCTTTACTGGATAACTGTGTCAGAGAGCACAGAACTAACTAAGTGGAGTGTGGTCATCTTTTCAAAGGAGCTGCTGTGAGCAGGTTGGACTGTTCCGAACAGGAGGAGTTCTGTGAGCTGTGTTTCTCTCCTTTCTTGCAGTGATGGGTGGCTGTTGACCTCCCAAGCAGCATGGAGGGTTTTCTCCATGCTGCTTAGTCAGTTGAAAAGTACCAGAGAAACAGAGAAGGGCAGCATCTAGACTGCTCCATCACCCTGTTGGGAGAAGTATTTTCTTATTTTCTTATTTCTTATTTCATTTCCCAGACTGGAGCATCATTGGTATCTCTTGGATATCATGCAGTATTTATGGAATAGACTAGGAGAAAGTCACACCTTAAGGGGTCAGTTGGCTGGAAACCATTTTAAGCCATCTGGCATTTTGGAGTTAAACAGGTAACAAGAGGTTAATGTTCTGTTATTTGCACTTAAAAGATACCTGGCAAAGGTGAGGTTTGGAGAGAGATTTGGAAAAGGTGTGCTATGTGATTAGAAAGCTGATTTCCTCTGTTGTGGGGCAAATGGATGCATGTGTTTTTCATCTAGCTAGGGAACCAGGGCTGTAAGTTTGGAGAGTTTCTTCAGTATTGAAGGGGAGAACAGTCACTCCAAGGATTTTTGCTGCTGGATGATCTCATAGTAAATGGAGGCTGATTATGAATACATAGTTGTGGTAGATTGCTCATGTGAGTTTTCTTAGACTGACGTATTTAGCTGTATTTAAAAATGTCACTTTGATGTATTTAACTGCTAAAACCCAAACTACATTTTGAGGGGCAAAAAAAAAACCCCAAAAAACAACAAAAATAAGTAGAAGGATTTTGTAAGAACCAGAAATGCTGAATTATGGAAAGCAAGGATTCAAATAGTAAGTGGAGTTTCATGCAAAGACATTGAAGATAAGACCAGGTTTGGAGGTGTAAAAGAAACAAACCAGTACTACAGGAATTATGTTCTATGTCAGTAGCTGTGCAGTCACATAAAAGTACTTGAATAGAAGACAAGGACACAGAAACATGTGCAATTCAAAGTTTCTGGGAGAAAACTGGCCATAGATGATCTCGGAAAATTCAGACTGGAAGCAAAATAAAAGTGCTGTATGGGACATTCTGGCCCTCAGTCTAGGAGCCTTCCCATTCTCCTTCCCTTCCCATACACTAATGCATCCAGCATTCAAGGAGATCTAATGGTCTTTTTCTTATGGTGGCTTTCAAGAGCCTGGTTTCCATGATCTAAAATTAGAAATTTTTACGTGAATTCAATGAATGATAAAACAGAGACTTAGTGTCAGTGTCCATGGCATCATACAAATGCAACTGCAAATTCAGCTTGTTGCATTGTTATTAACAAGTGATTACAGCTTGTTCAAAATGAATGTAACAAAACAACATTAACAATAACAAAAACTAACTATGTAGAAGTATGTCATAAAGGTAAAAACATTATTTTAGGAAAATGCTTTTAGGGATTGGTAACTTCTGAAATCATGTATTTTTTTTCTCTACATTGCTGCTGTGTGAAGCTGAAGTTTCTGTCTGGGTAGTGTATCCTAGTATCCTTTACAATAATACAGTTTCTTCTGTGTGATGTGGGCTCATTTCAGTTTTGGTCTTGATTGTCTTTCAGGAATTTCAAAGGTTGTTACACCTCCAAAATTATGTCAGGTGGTTTGCAGTTCCAGGAGGCAGCATGTACTTTCTGAATAGGTTTGTGTGTGCAAGGAGATAAAGATAGATTTGGAAGTACGGTATAGCCAAACAATCTTATCCGGATACATTGAGGAGAGTGCTGAAAAGAAGCATTAAAAACACCATGTAAGAGTGTTTCTGGTATATTATTTCTGGAAGATCATAGTGATTGGTTAGGTTGTTTCGTTGTTTTTTGGGTTGGGTTTTTTTTGGTGGCAGTTGTGTGTACCTATTGCAGTGCTGCATTTTACAAAACCTGGAGTTCTGGTAAATAGGTGAATAAATTTTACTGAATGTACATCACTGTTAGCACAGACATGGGTCCTGTAAGCTCTAAGATTAGTGTTAAGTAGTGGAGATTTGAGAAGTAAAAAGTCTTTTTTTAGAGATTTTTTGCCTTCCTGCTGTGTTGTCCTTGTTCTGCAGACTCTTTTGGAGTGGAATATTCTCCTTATTTTCATTGCATTTAGCCTAAATCATAAATAGATGGGATTTCTCCTAAGTTCCATATTCTGGCATTTCTCCAGCATCTTTGGTGTCATTCGCTCTTTTCCTGTGGCAGTTCTAACTCAGCCACTTGTGACAGTAAGTGGCAGCCTTAGGCATAGCATAACCTTGTTAGCTTCAAGGACTCACTTACATGAGATTGTCCATCATCTTTACTGAGCAATTTCCCAGTGTTTCATATCAACTTGTTTGCCTGCACTCATCAAGAAATAGCTGTGTACCTTGGAGGGAAAATAGGCTGTAAATACATGTATGCTTAAGGGCTGTAGGTGTTTCAGTGAGTTCTAGGTACAAGTTGTTTCTTGAGGATATTATTTTCCTTTTTCCAAAAGACTGCATTGTTTCACTCTAATATTTCCTGGCTGTGAATTTCTACTTAGGGGTTTTGACTTGGTTCAAGTCAGACTGAGCTGCCAAAAATTATTAAATACGAGTCATGAAAATTTTAGTTACTTTGGTGGGTAAGTGAAGAGAAGGTAAGTGGATTTTGCATACAATGTTGAGAAATCCAGACAGTTTATTGTTGAGTGCTAAGGAAGAACTGTTTATTTCTGCTCGGGCTGTTTGACTGTATCTTTCCCAAAGTATTCCCTTCTGTCAGCACGTAACCTATAGACTGGAAACCAGCAGTAGCCAGTCTTCTCTCGAGGGTTTCTTTTTAAAAAGACTGGCTTAGGAAACAGCTTTTGATCCTCCTTATTGAACAGTTCTTAAAATGAAATTTATTCTCCAATGTTCCTTTTAATTATTATGGCCATTTAAAGAAACTGTGTTTTGAGGGACTTTCCCCCCCCCCACCGCCCCTTCCTCCATGGAAACATGTTTGTTTTCCTTTTGTTCTTTCTTCCCTCTTCCATTTTTTCCAAAACGATCCACAAGGATGAAGAACTTCATTGGATGACACTGAAGTTAAAACTTTCTGTCCCAGTTACAAGATTGCAGTATGCTGGATGTTACCTAAATATTCAAAACCAGATAGGAATGGGTTAAAGGTAATGAAAATATCCATTACTGATGAGGATTAATATAAACCTTATTGTAATTTTGAAGATTCTTTGGATATAATTTTGAGATCATCTGTTCCTTGCACAGAATGAGAAAGCAACACATGAAATGCCATGGTAGCCTTCCTGTTTTCTGATAATTTGGCCAGTGCTGTTGGGAAGGTGAGGAAAAAAAAAACAGCTTGTGCAGACCATGGCTTAATTCTTTTAAAGATATACTGAATAAATAAGCTATGAGTTTCAGGGATGGCTTTGCTGGCCCTGTGATGTAAGTTCTGCCTGGTGAGGTCCTGTGCTGTCTGTCCCTCAGATCAAATGAGAAGGTTGTCAAAAGGTCATCCAGCCTCGTTTGTAGAGTCTAATTGTGTACTTGGGTCCATATTTGGCTGCTTATGGATTCAGATCAGTATTTAGAAGTGTCCATAATTAGATGAAAGCTAGATATTGTTCTTGTGGTCTGAAAGCACAAGCCAAGTGTTCAGTCTGAGCAGGCAAAGGCCTTGACCTTGCTGCAAGGTCTAAGGAGTAAGGCTGAGGAAAAAATAGGACAGCAGTCATAGCAGACTAGTCATACAGTGCTCGTACTGGACTATGCTTGAATCAAATTCAGCTTTTGGATGCAGCTCTCTGATTTAGTGAGAGCCGCGTGCTTATATGGAGAATAAGAATTTGAGTGTCAAGTCTGGATGAGAGATGGTTTCAATTAAAGAAGAAATAAAGAAAAGCAAGTGCGTAGAGGAGCCTAGGAGTTATGATTTGAGGTAATATTTGTGCTTTAAGTTAACCACTCTCCTGTAAATCCCTAAACCATTACTGTAACCTAAAATTAAAGATAATTAGAATCCTTAAAATATTTAGGTTGAAAAAGGCCTTCAATATCATCGAGTTCAACCATTAACCTAGCACTGCCAAATCCACCATGAAACCATGGCCCTAAGCACCATGTCTGCACATCCTTTAGTAACTCCAAGGACAGTATAGTCAAAACTTCAATAATTTAGACTTAATTCCATAATCTGAGCAGAACACTAGGTTGCAGTAGACCATTTTCCTGTCACAGACTCTCAGCACTTCTGATAAAGTGCTAAAGTCCTGTGTGTTTCTACAGATATTGGTGCAAGCACAGAAGATATTGGTAATGGTCCTGGGTAATGGATATTACATACTCTGAGGGACAGTGACATACCATTTAAGAGGATTAAAGGTTGATAAATTCATGCACAAAGTCAACAGCATCTTCAGTCTGATAGAACAGCACCTTTATTATTATTATGCCCTACAATTTTTTCCTTATAAATAGTAAATGTAGTTTGTTTTGGAATTGCATTTGTACAAGAATGCTTTTATCTTCATGCAGATAGAATGAGTATATAATAATGCTCTTTTTTTCCTTTTTTTTTCTTTTTTTTTTCTGTGTTTTGCAAGACTTTTTGGCGCTTCTAAGTAATTTTATGAGGGGCTTTTACCAGAAAAGTTCTATATGAGTCCTAAAATG